ATTACGCAAAATATTGGTTGAAAAATAAGACCAAGTTATAATTCCTAATAATTGATAATATTATAATTATAAAACATTATAATAAAAAAGTATGAATGAATTGTAGAAAATATTTATTCACGATAAGAAATACGCAAAGTGATATAACAACTATAATAATGTCTAAGTATGAGTTAATTGCAAAAAGTATATATAAGACTACTGGGGAGAACGCTCGACATACGATAAAAATCGTATAGTGGGCGAGCGCCCATTTGATTGTGTACGCCACTGCGAGTAAAACAGTCGTACGACAGTCGTGTATCACAGTGGCAGTGGACGACTGCTTCACGACAGTTTGTCGTAGTCGTGAGATTATCGTACAGTGGGCGAGCTCTCATAAGATCCAATGGTTCACTGTGGAAATGTTGTCGTTCCGACACAGTGTCGTACGACCGAAATCGTATAGTGGGCGAGGGGCCTTTAATTTTCATTCAGTATTTACAACATTTACAGAATCGAGACTTGACCACTTTTAATGACAGCTCGTACTACCGGTTGATGTATGATGTTTGTTACTATTTTGTAATGTAAAATTCCATATGTTTTTACAACTATCAGACACAATTGCTCCATTTATTACAAAAAACCTGTTGAACCGGTTTTGGCAGGGCCTAATTCATAGCAGGTATTAGAGTATAATGTAGATTCGATATTTCATTCGTCAATTGTATGATAAAGCGTAAGCTCTAACAAAAAAAATACAAATATTCAAACAAATATGAACTTAAATTCTGCTCTTTCAGTCCGACGAGCTGTTTCAATACAATTCAATAGACAGCCGCTGATTGTTGGACACTGACATACATACAAATCTGTGTCCTATTTGAACACGAGTCCAATCATCATTGAGAGTCCATGTTGAATCGTTGTGCTGAGATGACGCACAAAAGCCTTCAATTGCAAAGCTCAAACCAAACCGTCTCATTTCAAACGCCATTGTACTTGATGCACAAACATGCTGCGGATTTGATGCATTCATAGGCTTGGTAACTAAAAAAATGTTGTAAGTTAAATGAAATGCTAAATTTTTTCTACAGAAGTAAAGTTAGGATTTAAAAGTCTTTTTACACCTTTTTATCGTACTTTGTACTTAAGATGGTTTAAAATAAATAAACAATTTCCCATAGAAGATAAAATAAGTCGAACATATATTTACTGGTTATTAACTACTTTAAACAAATTGAAAACATGAAATATCCATATGTATGCAATTTTGTCCGAAACGCGTCACACCAGTGACAGACTCTCTCTCCCATGCTTGGTCCTTGAATTTATTCTCTGCACATAGCACTGTTACTAAGGAGATCAGGTAGATAATTTTACATCATAATTGCAGATACATATATTTAAAAAAGAATAGTTTTATGATATTAAGCAGATGAGTTTACATTATTGTTGTGGATAAATATTTTGAAAATTACATGGACTGTTTTCAATGAATGAATGTAAAACACTTCTGCAGGTCAATTAGATGCCAATTTCAGAGAGAAAAAAATCCTCAAATTTAAATATACAACTACTTGCTTAGGTTGGGTAGGTTTGGCATAGTTATTGACCTACTTATCAGTACTATTATTATTTATGTGGAGTTTGAAGCAAAACGTATACAATATTTTTGAACTACGTTTTAATATATCCTACACGTTGACATACTAAACACCAAAGTGATCACAATTTAAATACTAATCCGTGGGATTAGAAATGTTCTTTTCTAGTTTTGAATTGTTCTCCAAGGGAGACCATGAAAGCTATCGGCCATCTTATATTTGCCTGTCACAAGAGCAAAGTTAATTTCGTCAATTTCAAACAGCCACTGAAGAGCTAGCTATTTACGATCTCAAAATATTTTTAAAAAACCATCGGGAATGTAATTAAATATCTAGTAAACTGAGCGGTTAGAAATTTCATTTGTAGTTTTTTATCTGTTTTACGAGCTAGAAAATCTAGGCTCCAAGGACTCTTCGTAGGTTTTCCTTTAAGGATTAAGAGATAAATTTTTGTACTATCTTGAAATCAGCAAAAAAGTTCGATCCAAATTTGAAGAAAAAAGTGCATATGCAACGCACAATACAATAAGCATATAAGCATATCACAAATTATAGTTATGAGATAAATAAACTATTATAACATCGGCCATGATTTATAAATAAACACCATTTAGAGGAGAATTTTTTTTACTAAGAAAGGAAACATCAGTTAATAAAGATATTCAAAAATACTAAACAAGAATGCTCATTCATCATCGTTAAATAAAATGAATTTGGGAAAATTAAAAAATATTATTTACACGGTTTTTTTTTATTGTTGGTCACAATTGTAAATACATAATTTTTTATCAGAAATCTAAACATCTACTTTATAACAAATGTTGGATCTTCGATTGATGCTTGGATTGGACGATGATTGGAATTTCAAATCGAAGTTGATTGCCATTTGTAGATATTTCCTGTCTTTTTTATTTAGTTGATTTATATCTACGCTAATAAAATTTTCAAACGGGTTATCACAGACGATCTTTAGGGGAACCCGACAAAACTCATTAAATTTTATAGGTATACCAAAGATTAACCCAATTACTCGGCCAAGTCCAGGACGCCAACCTCTAACCCAGCAATACTGTTATATAATTATATGAGTATAATTGTCCGGGTAGCCGAATGGTTATAGCTCGTCTTCAAATCTGAAGGTCACTTGTTCGATTCAAAACGTGATCATTTCCAGAACCAGATGCCATTTGTCATTGGAATATGAATTAATAAATATCTAACAAAAGGGTGGACGTTAGATAGTAAAAAGACAAAGGTTTGGACAGTCCCTTTCTAAAAAATAAAAATTATATTGGCATAGAAAACACATGGGAAACAACATAATCAGAGTATTTGCACAAAGACTATGTTAAAATTTTAAAACGTTCTTTCATTATTTGTATCATGTTTGAATTTCCTTATAAAATGTAGTTAATTATTCCTTCTAACCACATCACCGGACTCTATAACGTTAATTATGTTAACATATCAAATCAACAGTTTCCACTAGTTTTATAACAGGATACTCCATAAATCTTCTCGCAAATAAATCTTTGTGGCGAAATATTAAGGACAATCTGAAAAATCAATTGAATAACAGTTCAGCAGATCTTATGGAGTGTCAGTTTACTCTAATGAAGCTATAACGTTGACAAATGTAATTTGAACGTAATTACTAACGTAATTGAAACAAACAAGCTTAGTTAACGATCCATGACGCTATTTGCAGCTACATGTAGGTCAATCCTGTTTATCACTTTGGGATAGAATCTATAACTCCTGGAGGGAGTGGGGGGGGGGGGAATCTCCACTGTCAAAGATCAACTCAACACTAGAGATCAAGTTATAAATGTGTGTCTTTGAACATAAAATGTAACAATAGCAATATTATTGAATGGAATGATTTAAGTATGGTTGGTAGTGTGTTTTTTATTAATTTTCTTTTTTATAAGGTAAATAGCTGCTAAGGATAGATTTTTACTGTACAACTAGGTCAAGGTTATGAAACAATTAGAGCTCCTCCAAAAATTTCAACTACGATCGGGTTTGACCGGGCTATTTTTTCATATAACCATCGCAGCAATCCTTCAGACTAACGAATTTCCGTTTGTGTGATGGGATGTTTACTAAGATATTTTCTTAAACATGTCAGATTTATTCCCCATTTAAATAACATAAGGTTTATCAAATACCTAGGTTTGCTGCTAGAGGGAAGAATAACTGTTCTCTTGGGTAACGTGATATTAGTATGCCTATAGGATACAATTATTTGTCCCCGGTCTTACGTCCTAGGTCCTACCGTGCCCCTTATGGTAATAGCTTATTGCTAAAATAACTAAGGAGTTAAAAGCTTTTTGGACTGTATCCTTCTTCACGTATTACTGGTGTTTGAAACCACGATTCTTAAAAGAAAAACATCAATTCCAATCCAATTAGAGGTATTGTTATTTACTTTTCATACTGTAAGAATACTTCTCATTATATTGTAACATTTAAAATAATTTTGGTTTGTTTTTCAAAATCCATTGTTAATTTAGCTGGATTTGAACCCGGGACCACAGGGACCGACGTCCCGCGTTCTACCACTAGACTAGCTCGCTCCCCACAAATTTGACGAAGTAGACCTTGTCAATTTACGGAATCGCATGATTCCCACCGTAGCTTCTCTCGTTCTTTACACAGTTATGTAAGGTAATTCTTACGGGTTTAGTTTAACTATTCTTCGTAGCCTGTTTCTGATGACAAACTTTTATTTATAAGCCCTTTTTTGCCATAACTTAGATTTTACAAGAAAATAAAGGAAATATAACAATTAATTCGTGAATTTCCAGACGTGAACATAACAAAACCCCTTATTAAACTTTTCCATTAGAACTGTAAATATATATGACAAGTTAAACCTATAATATAACATGATAGGTCGTTCAATTTGGAAATGTAAAAGCCCACACCCCTTAAACTTTTGAAGAGAAATAAGGGTGAGTGTGGAATAATAACAAATAAAACACTCTTTAGATCTAGGATAAAATGGTGTTTTGGAAGTCGTATTGCGCTGCCTAGACGAGCTGGCCCTAACTCAGGAGGTACATTTAGCTCGGTCCACATTAAAATCGCCCAACTCTCGCTCTTTAGCTGCAGGAACTACTTGTACCTTACATTGACTTTGGGAGTTGTCCTTCCTACCGAACTAAGTGACGGGGGATTCATATCAGTAGTAGTTTGGATTGTGCAAAAGCACATCCAAGAATTAAGCTAAGCTTTGGAACCTGGCAAATGAAGTAACTCAGGCAAGTAGTCAGATTAAAGTTTGCATACCTGCAAAGTACTAGGAAGTGTCAAAATGTTAAACAAGCACACAACAAGTTTAAAAAAATCTGTCCCGGGTCCAGGTCATACTATAACTCCCTATGTGGGAAATTCGCTAAGACTTACCCATCTATGAGTGGGACCTCGGAGAGTATCCTGCGGACGATGTCTAGGCGCTGCTCCAGAGTGTCTTTAGGAGGTGGAGGGGGCGGAGACCCTGAGAGTGAGAGAGGCCATCCCAGCCCCAGACACAACCCAGCCACCAGCAGACACACCAGACAAGTGACCACCCACGGCCGCAGCCGCACCTCCAGGATAGCTGAACAACAGGAGAGACCTGCGTATGTTAGAACTTCACCGTGACAAGCATCATAATCTTTTAGATAGCTAAAAAAAGTGTTGAATCTTCAATAATATTCCTTAAACTAAATTGTGCAGACACGAAAGCAACAGTGCACATCACCTAATCGGTAATAATGTAAATGTTGGACTATTAACTTATTAGCTTGTTTTGTCTCACTCTCTGTACTTGTAATTTGAGTTTTTTTAATGTAAAACCTTGTATTTCATACCCCAGTGATATGTACCTTTGACATCGTCACTGCTGTCACTGCTGCTGATGGACCCAGCGGTGGCCAGGAGAGTGCGTGCCTGACCGTTGCATCGAACTGCGCCGTTCAGCAACCGCACTGGAGGACCGTGCTCTGACATGCAGGTCGTCTGGAAGAGAACAAAATCCTATCAGCAATCAGACACATAGTTTATTTTCATTGGCTTGGCAACAATCCTTATCATGGGTAAACATTGGGAGTAACTATGATGTTTAAGTAGAAAATTAAAAAGTTGCAATACATTTTGAACAGTTATTTTTACAGCAATGCTGGTAGTGCTATTTTGTTCAAAATTAAACTTTAAACATACATCGGATAACGAAATCTAATAAAATCTTAGTTACCCACATTGCCATGGGGAACCCCCGTTGCCATGATAAACCCCGTTACGATGGTAATCCCCGTTACGATGGTAACCCCCGGTACGATGGTAATCCACGTTACGATGGTAATCCCCGTTACGATGGTAACCCCCGTTACGATGGTTACTGGCGTTAGTATGGCTAATTCCCGTTGCTATGGAAACCCCGTTGCTATCGCTACCCTCTTTACTATTGATACCCCCGTTGCCATGGTTACCACCGTTACGATGGTAATCCCGGTTACGATGGTAACCCCCGGTATCATGGTAACCCCCGTTACGATGGTAATTCCCGTTACGATGGTAACCCCCGTTACGATGGTAACCCCCGTTACGATGGTAACCCCCGTTACGATGGTTACTGGCGTTAGTATGGCTAACTCCCGTTGCTATGGTAATCCCCGTTCATAAAGTAACTCCGTTGTCATGTTAACACCCGTTGCCATGGTAACACCCATTTCCATGGTAACACCCGTTTCCTTGGTAACACCCGTTGCCCTGGTAACTCTTGTTGTCATAGTTACCGAAGGGAACATGGTTGCTTGCGTTGCCATGGTTTCCGCCGTTGCTATGGTTATCCCTGTTGCCATGGTAAGAATATGTATGAAAAATATTTTATGATAAATGAATAAGGATTTAATTGTATATTCAATAGAATAAAAATAAAGAAGTAAGAATAATTGTGGTCATGCAGAAAGAAATACTTAAATTTAAATTCATGCAATGTATTCAATAACTATTGTCGACACTTTTCCATTATCACCAAATAAGCATAGTAGGGTACTAATCATTTTCGTAACAACTCACATTCTTAAACTGAAATTGAGTATGCATAGCAGTTTAAGTATGATACTTCTCTAACATTTCTTAATAACTACAAAATAAAGATTTGCGCATACTTCATAATCTGTTACTGTTGACGTATAACTTAAATCTTTTATGAGAACTTAATAGTCAAAAAATATCATTTACCGATACAAAATATTCGTAATTTTAACAATATTTCGATTTGTTTTACTGTTTTTTTTTATATTATTATTTAGACAGACACATTACTGAGCAAAAAATCAGTCTTTTGCTAGCACATAAAGACTGTAAAAGAAAGAATTGCAAACAAACCGTTTGTAACTCTGTCGTTTAGTTGTTGACATGAAATGGGGTAGAAAATGTACACAATGAGGGCTATTGTATACAGTTAACATGAAGCTGCACGGCCAATTTTCGCATCGTATTGTCAACACGTTATGTCTCTGCCAAATAACTGTCGGTCCACAGAATACTTCTATCCCTAACTACATAAAAATCTGTACAACTTCTGTATGAGTAAATGTAAATTTCATATATATATACTACTTTAGTTTTTAGGGTATTGGTTTAGATTGGTTCAAAGGCTTCTCTTTTTCTGGCTACCCTTAAACCGGACATCACTTATACCGGACGTTGTCAAAACAATGACACCCTCGTTACCAACCCCTTTTAACTAGACATTAGGTCGTGATTGGCTAAAAAGAGATGCTAACCCAGCTAGAAATAGAAACACTATGCTGAACTAAACTCTATTTCTCCATCGTACCCATTGCCACAAATAATTATGCTTTTATCTTTTGCTACAATGCAATACATGAGCTAGGGAATAAGAAACTGGCGCTTTAGAGTAATCGGGTTATCTGGTCAAACTGTTATTCAAAAGCCGTATTGTGAATTGCAGCAAATTTCAATACATCAGTTACTAAACAATAGTATCAGTGATTATATGTTTGTGCGGCCTAAAAAGTGGGTTGACGTGGTTCTATAACTAATATTCTTCGTAAGAAAAGTTATTTTTTGTTGAACACTATTTATTAGCAATAGATTTTTAAATATTAACAACGACTGACACAGTCAATTTAGCACAGATATATACATTACTATATGGCAGATAACTTGGAATGTAAGGTTAGTGAATATATTTTCAAAGCTTTGTTCGATATCGGTAAGAGTTTTTGAGAGTCCTCTCAACTGTGGACAAAGTTATTAAGTCACAGAAAGATTTAATTTGAAGACTTTGTTTAAAAAGTTACAAGTTTCCCTTAGTATAAAATTGGACAGTGTCTCCTATCTACATGAATCCTGTTCTCTTAAAAGTTGCAATAAATATTTAAAAATACCAAAGTTGAAAAAAACCCCATCCGTACGACTATTGTCAATTTAACAAAAAAAAAAAAACAATTAAACTTTAAATACCCCCGCCGCAGCAAACCTGCAGACTAAGCGAATTTCCATTTGACTGATTGGATTTACACTGAAATGTCTATTTAAAAATATAACATTTATTCCCTATTTAAATAGAATAAGTTTAACAAGTACTTAGGTTTGCTGCATCAGGGAGGGTATAACTGTTTTTTTTTTTGTAAAATGTTAATAGTAAGAAATAAAAACATTTTCCAAATTTGATCAAAATATGTTCATAAACAAGCAAACTACAACAGTTTACTTATTCTCCATAAGAATAACATGGGAATTTTAAATTTACAATTTTTTGGAATTTTCTCCGTAACCATTAGGCGCATAATAACGCTTCAATATACTAAATTATTGGTTTTTTTAAGCTCTACAAAATGGTTTGGAAAGAAATTGCTAAATTTTATGTTTTTTGGGTCAAAAATGGGAAAAACCTATTTTTACTCCATAAAACCCCCCGTAAACCCCCGTTCCCATGGTCCGATCATGCTGGATCGCGAACTCGTTCGAATAAACGTAGGTTTACACGTTTGTACCAAATTTCATAAAAATCGGATCAGTTTTGCTCGAGTTATCGTGCTAACGGACATATATATATATATATATATATATATATATATATATATATATATATATATAAATATATAAATATATAAATATATAAATATATAAATATATAAATATATAAATATATAAATATATAAATATATAAATATATAAATATATATATATATATATATATATATATATATATATATGAATTTGAACGGATGGTGTTTTTGGCTTCTAGGGACCTCAAAACGAAAAAAAAATCGGTGCCGCGTCCAGGTCTTACCATGAGTACTACGGTAATAGCTTATTCCCTATGGGAAATTTGCTAAAAGGGAATCACCAGACAGGAAAACATAGAAATTTCAACATTTTCCACAAAGTTTAAAACTACGTCAGTTCAAACGTCAACTCACACACCCTTTCTAGAAAACCGTGTATTTTATTCGATCAAAAGGTTTTTTATGAGCAAGACGTTAAATGCAATTCCATTTCCACTTCAAGTTGGATTTGAAGTATTGTATGATATGTGATATATTTTTAACTAAATATTTCATTTTTTACCAATAAATTAATTTGAATAAACAACTCTATTTGACTTTATAGGTCAAATTTAATTGAAGAATAGTTAACTTACTCTACTATATTTACTCACCACTACAGTCAGTTTCATTTCACGCTTACTTACACTATTCTCAACAAAGGATTGAAAAGGACTGAGGATAAAGTATGAGAATGCCACAGTTAAGGGAATAGGTGAATCATCAGGGCTATTGATTATCCACTCTATCTAGTAAGTAGAGAATTTACCACTGAGTTACTACTTTACACCGTAACTAGTAAAACAGCACACACACACTCACAAACTCAATATAGGGTAAACTTCGTACACAGGTAATTTTATTCTACTATATAAGAGTCAAAAAGATTAATTGTTGTTTAAATATAATTTATTGCATTCCGGTTTATATTTAGTTGCGGAATGTCTTTTAAAGAATATTTTAGAAATTGCTTTGTCATTTTTAACTTGGTGGAGTGTACTCAAAAGTATAGGTACTTTCCTGTTAAAGGGAACATTCATTATTATCGATGATTTTTTCTCGATATATCGATATTAAAAATTGAAACATATCAGCTGACAACTACGATAAATGTTGTTCAGTATCAACAAACAATAATAAAATGAAACTGTTCTAAAAAAATAACCTAACATAACTAACCAAACTTGCTGTGTAACATTTAAAAATTCCGTGTTTAACTTGCCTTTTCTGTTATCAAAAGGAATTTTTAAATAGTACAAGTTTGGTTGGTTATGTTAGGTTAGCTTAGAACAGTTTCATTTCTTAATCCATATAATAGTATATTTTAGCCTAAACAAGATCAGTTGTCAATTTGTAATGGATCGGAAAACAAAAATATCGATATATCGAGAAAAAATCATCGATAATCATGAATGTTCCCTTTAACAGGAAAGTACTAACGTATATTATGTAACTGAAATCTATATCAAAGTAATTTAATGGAGTGACGTATGTAGTGGTTTATTATTTTTTACAAACTTTTATTCCTATTGATAAAAAATGCCATTCATGTTTAAGTAGTAATCAGAACTAGCGTCCCTGTTGCTCGAAATCGAGCAATTGCTAAGTATTACCGGCGTTATTTTAAAACAAATAACAGTCACAATTTTTGATGACTTAAAATATTTGACTCAAAGATTATGGAATACTCAAGATGTTCATAACATATAAATATAATCAACATTTCTTGTAAATATTTTATCATTTTTCAAAAGCTGATTTACTTTTTTAGTGTTTTATAAAAGTAGCCTTACTTATAGCCGCACTAGGTTGTCCATAATGACGATTATAAAGTAAAAAAAAAAAACACACATTTATATTTCTTCTCCTTGGTGGTGTTCTATGACTTTCCTATGTTTTCATAGTTTGAAAATGGGCTCTTTCAATGATTACCAAGAA